ATGGTAGAAATGAAGCGGTAACTCATAAGACGATTGGTCGGGTCGTCATAATTGGCCATATACAGTACTGAGTGATTGAGTATTTTGAGAGCGTGAGTACACGAGGCTTTCAGTGCGGTGCATCTTATGCAGCATATGTAATGGCATGTAGATATAGAGAAGTTGTATTCCTCATATCAATAGTATTGATCTATCTTACTTGAATTGAGTTTAACTGTTGAACTTGAAAGTATGCCTACATTTTTGTACTGTTATTTCTATATTGAACTGTACCTGTTAAGTTCGTCACTACCTTTCAGTCCAAAGGTTAGATTTTTTACTTATTGAGTTGGTTGTACTCACGCTACACCTTACACATTGTGTGCAAATTCAGATGCTTTCGGTCATGGCGGTTGCTGAGTTGCGGAGTCCGAATTTTCGGAGATCATCGAGGTAGTTGCTTGGCATCCCCAGACATCAACTCTCCTCCCTTATCTACATTTTTATGTTTCAGTTTTATTCTCTAGACGTTGTATTAGACTATATTCCTATGTAGATGCTCATGTACTCGGTGACGCCCCGGTTTTGGGAGAGATTGTGTATTGAGTTGTTAATTCTTACACTGTTTTTAAAAAGGTTTTCCTTAAATTTAACTCTTTCCGTATTTTTTTCAAAGCTTTAGAGTGTTGAAATGATTGAGTAATTAGCTTGCTTAGTTCTACGATAGACATCATCATGACAGATTGGTTTTAGGTCATGACAAATATAGTGCCACGAGATCAAACTCAACTTCCAAAATATAAAACACCCTTGAAATAAACAATAATACGAAATAAATAATTTAAAGTAATAATCTAACCTAAGCATGGATAACATGATTGACAAAACTATATTATAGAAAAAATATTTTTCACCTGCATGTTTTAACCTATTGAAAATGTATAGATACTCGTAACCTCACATATACGTTGCCCCAACACATAAAATGTGTAGCAAATAGACCGACTAGTCCTAATCCCTCAGGTCAAGGTTAACCACAACACTTACCTTACTCCGCAACCAAATCAATGCAGAACTAGGCTTTTCCTCTAGAATTAGCCTTCAAATCAATCAAATCTAACCCAATATAGTTCAAATAATTCAAAATAAGCTTTAGAAACTACCCACGAGTGAAAAAAATTCAACCTATAATGATTTAGGAAAAAGTCAACAAAAGTCAACCTCGGGCCCGCTTGGTAAAAATCCGAGATTCGGACCAAAACCCAATTACCCATTCACCCCCGGGCCCAATTATGTGATTTGTTTGAAATCCGAACTTAATTTGAGGTTTAAATCTCAATTTTACAAAAAATCTCCAATTATACCCAAATCCCTAATTTCTACCATGGAAATCCTAAATTCAATGTTGAAATCTCGTGAAAGTAATGGGTAATTGGAAAAAAAAAAAAGTGGATTAAGGTTACTTACCAATGAATTGGGAAGAAAAGCCTCTTGAAAAATTGCCTCTAGAGTGTTTAGGGTTGAGAAATGGTGTAAAATGATCTAAGTCCTAATTTTCTCCTCTTTTACCGAGTTGCGGATGTCGCAATTGTAAAGGCTTGTTTGCGATTGCGAGCATCACAAATGCAAGAAAAGGGTCGCAATGCAAACTCTGTCACAGAAGAATAGAAACCGCAAATGCGGCAAATATATTGCAAATGCGAATGACCAGCCATCGCAAATGCGACCAAGTGATCGCAAAAGTGATCATGTATTGTTTCGCAATTGCGAACCTTTTCCTCGCAAATGCGGGGTTACCCAATCCCAGGCCCTGCACGCAAATGTGAACATTTGTTCGCAAATGCGAACAATTGTCCGCAAATGCGATCCAGACATCGCAAATGCTAGATTTGCATCAGACACCACAACTGGCATTGCACTAGCAATCTTTGTACTATTCAAAATACTAGTTTTCACAAATCACGTCAAATCAAGTTAGGGACTTCCGAATTCAATTCCGCACATACACTCAAGTCCAAAATTACGATACGGACGCACCAGGATCGTCAAAATACCGACCTGGGGTTGTTTACACAAAATATTGACCGTAGCCAACTCAAATCATTTTTAAATCTAAAATTTACGTTTTCTTTATTTTTCACATAAAATCTTTACGGAAAAAGATACGGATTGCGCAAGTAAATCAAGAAATACTAAAAGGAGCTAATCGAGGTCTCGGAACACAGAAATAAGAGCTAGAACTCAAACTGACCTATGGGGTCATCACATACTCAATCTTCCCTAGGTTCGCAAGAGCAAGAAAGTACTCGCAAATGCGATGGTCGCATTTACTACCTTCTCATCGCAAGTGCGATGGAACCAGCACCAACATACAAAATTCTACCAAAATAATCTGAAACCAATCTGAAATTCATCCGAGCCCTCGGGGCTCCGCACCAAACATCAACACAAATCTAAAAATATCATACAGACTCGCTCGAGCAATCAAAATACCAAATAACATCTAAAACCATGAATCAGACATCAAAATGCATGAAAAACACAATGAACTTCAAGAATTGCTAGAAATGCAACCACGTATCAGATTCCTATCAAATCAACTCGGAACGACACCAAATTTTGCAGATAAGTTCAACAAAACTGACATATTCCAAGTTCCAAAACTAAAATCTGAACCCGATAGCCATAAAGTCGAACCATAGTTAAATTTAGGAAAATTCTAAACCTTCAAATTGCCAATTTTTGCCAAATAGCGCCAAAACCTTCTAGAAACATCCCAATGCAAATCCGGGTATACGCCCTAGTCGAATCATCATCCAGACCTACAACTATCAAAACTCTAATCCGAGGTCAACTATATAAAAATCAAACTTGGACAACTCTTCCAACTTAAAGCTTCCTAGTCGAGAATCATTCTCCCAAATCAATCCCGAATCACCGAAAACCAAGATCGACCCTGCACGCAAGTCATAACACGTAATATGAAGCTACCCAAGTCCTTAAACTGCCGAACTGAAATGCTCAAAATAACCGGTCGGGTCGTTACATTCTCCCCCACTTAAACATACGTTTGTTTTCGAACGTGCCAGAAGTCATCCCAAAGCTATGAAATCACTACTTGAGCTCACCATACATATACTCGCGGATGATCCTACGTTACCCCAATCATATAAGTCTGACAACACAACTTAACTGAATATCTTACTTCATCCTTAGCCTATAAACATTAGAATCCAATCCTCAACAACTAAAACTCATCGTAAGACCCGAATCTCGCATCAATACATCATATAAGCTCGAATAAGCTAAATCAAGCCACAATCTTAATCCAAAGTATAATCACATTATATTCTACATAACTAATATGCCCGTATCTTGAGTTGAACATAGATAATGCCAATATCTTGACGTCAGTTATTGAATAACCTTGACGTGAGTCATTTAATTCCATATTGCTAAATCAAATGCCACGTTGTTTCTTTTGCTTTGTAAGAGTTAACCTAGCTATATCCCTGCAGATATTGAAATTGACTTTTAAGACCGGTGCTATTAGGTGAACCAAAACTTATACTCCTTCCATATTTTAATTTATTGTAACCTATTTGATTGGGAACTGAGTTTCAAATTTTTTTTTTAAAAATTTGTAATGTAAAATAAGATATATATATATATTGTGTGGCTATAAGTGATTTCATAAAGGTAAATTATCTTTAAATAGAGAAACAAATCATTCTCTTTTACATAACTTAAAAAAAAAAAAATTCACATAAATTGAAACAGATAGAAGTTGGTTTCTGACAAAGCAATGTTTCATGTTTCTGAATTGCATACAACTTTTCGAAATCTCAAAGAGTGTGGAAATTCTGGACTTTTTTGTCTGCGCTTCCTCAGGTCTTTTTCTGGCCAAGGCATACCAAGAGTCAACAGTTTGCCTAAGATTATTAGCCTGGCCAAGCTTTTTTTCGGTCAAAAAGTATTTTTTTTTTTGTCAAAAGCACTTTTGGCCAAAAATTAAGGTGTTTAGCCAAGTTTTTGGAAGGAACAAAAAGTGCTTTTGAGGAGAAGCAGAAGCAGTTTTGGAGAAGCAGAAAAAAGTAGTTTCTCTCCAAAAATACTTTTTTGAGAAGCATTTTTGAGAAAAAGCACTTTTTTAGAAGCATTTTTGAGAAAAATACACTTAGAAGTAGTTTTTTAAAGTTTGGCCAAACACTAATTGATGTTCAGAAGTGTTTTTCAAACTAATTAGTCAAACACAAACTGCTTTTCACCAAAAGTTCTTTTGAAAAAAATACTTTTAAAAAAAACACTTCTCAAAATAAGCTGATATTTGCAGCTTGGCCAAACGGGCTTAGAAAGTCTTAGGCTTCCACTTAAAGGCACTACCAACATTATTTTATCCTACTATACACACGTTGGAACTTAGAGACCTTTTGATCATTCATAAGTCATAACATGATTTGAATAATTTTGCAGAAATTTGTTAATATGAATCAAATGACCCCTAAAGTTATTCTTTACTTTTTGCTGAACTGCAAAAGTAATCATTTTATAAAGGTGACAAATTTTGGTACAATTTAAGAAGGGAAGACAATGAGCTTTTAAGAAGATGAAGTAAATCGAACACGTGGAAAACCATAACAGTGATTCAGCTGCTATTTAAATTTTTTTAAAAAGAAGTCAAAATCAAAATAAAAACGAAAGCACAGTTCAAATTCAAAATTTAAACACAGAGAAAATCAATAGTTGGTTCCGAGGGGCCTCTTTAACTGTTTTGTAACGGGAATATTACTCATAAATGTACAACTTGACCATTAATTATGTGAAGACTTAATTTGAAAGGAACAGGTCAACTTTTTATTAGGATAAACAATTAATTATCTTCTTAATCCACTTCGATCTCCAAATTGAATTAACAAAAGCAAGCATCCACTCATACCAAAATATTTAGAAAGAAACGCAAAACAAAAACAAAAAATGAGACAAAATTAAAAGAAATCATTATTTATTCACAAACAAATATCCAAAAAGTAAGATCATACCATTGTCTGTGGATGAATAGTATTTCAATAGTCCAAAAACGATACTAAAAAAAGGGAAAATAGCCCAATTTCAAATATATCCCCTAATATCCAAAGAATATCGAGAGATAAAACACTTAAAAAAATAAAAGAAATAAACTCCAAGATCAAGAAGACTACCAAAGTAGAAGTAAGATCACCAATCAAGATGGCATTGGGTTCTCTCAAAAGTGGTACCAGAAGATGTTGTACCATTAGACTTGAAAGGAACCTTCAAATCACACATAATAATCGGCTTAATTTTCTTGGTTTTGATCCACCCAAACTTGAGCCTAATCCGCATGTAAAGCTTCACTCCAATCGCATAAACCCCAGAATCCTTCTCCCCATTGTAATCAGATTTCTCTTTATCCCCTAGCATAATCAAATTCTGACCCTTGAACACTATTTTCAGATCTGTAGTATTCTTGTGACCCTGATAAAACGGTTCAAGATTTGTACTGGAGAAATTCCGGCCAAGAAACAAAGCCCTAGCTTCAATGGAATCATAGTAAATCCCAATTCGTTTATTGGTGTTTCTGATGGAGACATTGAGAGCAAGATCGTAGTAAAGGGTACTGTTTTTTGTGGAGAGATCGAATTGGGTAAGTGAGGCGTCAGCGACGTGGAAATTGACTTTGTTGGGTCTGAGGATAAACCAGAGGACAAAGGCTACGACACCAACAATGACCAAAAGAGTGCAGAGTATCTGGAAGATGCAAGTGCAGATGCAGTTGAAGAGACAGCCGCAGCAGCAGCTGAATGGGTTGCAGCAGCACCCGCCGCCGTGGCCTGGGCGGTGGTAGGTTTTTGACGGCGGCGGAATTGATGGGCCGTAATATGCTCCGTTCAGATGGGGTCCCGGCATGGTTAACGTGAAATCAAGAAACGTAAAAGTAGTTGAGTTTTTGGATGGAGTGGGCGAAATAATGGAGGTTGGGTTGCCCTGATTTTTCTTTTGTTTGCTTCGGTTTGGAGTATGTATATATGTGAGAGAATAATGGAGGATGTGAATGTTTCTTTTGTGAGTCGGATACGAATATATAGGGAGTGTGCGGCCCAGTTGGTTTATGCGCTATCAGTAGGATTGCGTTTTGTGGAATGTGAAGTAAAGAGTGGGGGAAAAGGCCGTGTTTTGCTATGTTTAGGGTTATTATAGCACGGCTAGCTAGTTTTCGGACTGTTCATTCAAAAATAGTTAGCGTTTGCAAAGTCATAGAAAAATAACCACTATTTTGCTGTAATTGGGATCGGTCCAGCATAATATATTGGAGATCGGTGCACCAGTGCATGAACTTCCAGTATATTATACTGGACCGGTATATTATACTGGAACTTCAGTATATTATGCTAGAGTTCCAGTATACTTATGCTGGATCTCCATTATAATATGTAGGAGTTCCAATATACTTATGCTGGAACTCCATTATAACATGCTGGAGTTCCATTATACTTATCTTGGAACTTCAGTATATTATGCTGGATTATTTTCCGAATTTTGAAAAGTGTTTTCGTTCAGGATTATCTTTACATAAAAAGTGGCTAAATTTCAATTACTTTTGAAACTGTGGCTATTTTTAAATGACCACTTGTAAATCTGGTTATTTTTGAATTTAAAAGGGGGAGAATGACACAGTTATCTGAAAAAAAAACAAAATTATTTATTCTTATATACCCATTTATTTTTTTTACCTATTAAATTAATTATATTTCCTACCCACAATAGTTTTTATGGAAAATTTTCTCTTTTTTCTCCAATTCTTTTTTATTTCTATGCTTCTTTTCTTTTTTTCTTTTTTTTTCTTTCTTTTCTCCTTTCCTTTTTTCTCATTTTCTTCTTATTTTTTTCTTTTTTTCCTTTTCTAATCTCATTCTTCTTCTTTTTTATATTCTTTTTCTATTTATAATCTAATTTCATTTATTGTTTTCACTATTTTTTATTATTCTTTTTTTTATACAATAAAAAATAATTGATATAGTAAATATTTGTTCACTTTTTTTTTAATATAATATAATATACTTTTGTCTTTTTTCTCGGTTTTTAAATTTAATTATTAAACTAAAATAATATCAGTTGTCACTTGATCTAATTCACTGAATATCACACTGACTGCTGTTGAGCACCATAAAATACATAATCAGATTTTAAGAATCAACACGTGATTGTCATGCAAACCTTGATCTCCTTCCCTACAAATATCAATACACACTCTATCATTAGTAGTAATACAACTAGTTATGGAGCAAGAACACATATTCTACGGCCACTAAATCTTCATATATACTAGTTAGAATAGAAATGATAATAAAATATTAAAAAATACAATAAAAGTATAAGTAGCAAAAAAGACTTCTAGTACCATATGATACCAATATGGTATACATGTATACCAACAGAGTATATGATTGCTCTAGAATAATTCTACAACTATTATTAAAAGAAAATCAAATACTATACCAATTAAATGCAGCTAATACTACCAAAAAATAATCCAACTAGCATATAATACCAATATAGTATATAACTATACTAATAGGGTGTATGGTTGTACAGGGTTATTTGAACAACTACATATAACTATAAAAACTATTACGTAATACATAAAATCTATATCCATAGGTATAAGAAAATCCAACACATCAAAACATGATTACATAAATCATTTTAGAATAGAATTTACTTAAAAATGAAGCTAAACAACCAAAAACAATCCAACTACCATACGATACCAATATGATATATAATTATACCAATAGGGTATACAGTTCTACTAGTTAATTCCAGGCAACTATATATGACTATACTACTATTATATAATACAATGCATAAAGAGAAAAATCAAAAAATAGTGTACCACATATTAATATAAGAATGTATTTCATGATATTGTACTATAATACTATTATATAAAACAAGCGCATAAAGAAAAATTGTGACGACCCGGCCGGTCGTCTTAAGAATTAATGTCTGAATCCCCTATTAACTGTTTTTCCCAAGCCTTTTTCCACTATTTTGATTGCCGGGATGTTTGGTTTTAAGTTTCGGAGAGTTTTGGGACACTTAGTCCCTAAATGAGAGCTTAAGTGTTGGAAAGTTGACCGTAGTAGGAACAGTGTGAAGACGGCCTCGGAATGGAAATCTGATGGTTTCGTTAGCTCTGTTGGGTGATTTCGGGGTGATGAGCTTGTTCGGATTGTGTTTTGGAGGTCTGTAGCTAATTTAGGCTTGAAATGCCGAAAGTTGAATTTTGGAAGTTTACGGTTCAAAAGTGAGATTTTGATCCGAGGTTTGGAATGGAATTTCGAGAGTTGTAGTAGTTCTGTCATGTCATTCGGGATGTGTGTGCAAAATTTCAGGTCATTCGGACGAGGTTTGGTAGACATTTTGATCGAAAGTGTGTTTTTAGAGTTTTTGAAATTTTTAAGCTTGAATCCGATGAAAAATAGGTGTTTTGATGTTGTTTTGAGCATTCAGAAGGTTGGAACAAATTTGAATGATCTTTTAGGATTTGAATGATATTTTAGGATTGGCTGGCAGGTTTGGTTGAGGTCCCGGGGGCCTCGGGTGTGTTTCGGATGCTCAACAACTCATTTTTGGAATTTAAGAAATTGTAGAAAATGTTGCAGCAGTCAGTTCCGGTTTTCTTCATCGCGTTCGCGAGTGGGATCTCGCGTTCGCGAAGAGGAGATGGGACTGGAGAAAAAGTTTGGCCTTCGCGTTCGCGAGAGGGCCACCGCGTTCGCGGAAGAGTAATTGGCCCAGTAGAGTTTTGTGCATCGCGTTCGCGTGGTGCCCGTCGCGTTCGCGAAGGTTCGTGTGTGCAAGGCATCGCATTCGCGGAGTGAGGGACGCGTTCGCGAAGAAGGAAAAATGGTCAAAGTTATTTTGTGCTTCGCAAACTCGAGGCCTTGACTGCGTTCGCGAAGAAGGAATTTTCTCGGTAGATATAAGATTTCAAAATCGAGGGTTTTAGCCATTTTTATCAAAACTTAAGCTTGGGAGCTCGGATTTGAGCGAGCTTTTGAGGGATTTTCAGAGATATCAATTGGGTAACGATTCTTAACTCATTTTTGCTTGTAACCCATTAATCTACACATGAATTTATCCTTTAATTTCGGAATTTGAATGAAAATTGGGGAAAAGTTCTTAGGCCAAGAAATTGAGTTTTGATTGTGGGTTTGACATCGGATTTGGATAATTTTGGTATGGTTAGACTCGTGAGAGTGTAAGAATTCTGAAACTATTAATTTTACCCGATTCTGAGACGCGGGCCCAAGGGGCATTTTGGTCATTTTACATAATTTTGCGTATTAGCTTAGAATTTAATTGTAAAATTAATTACTTGAAATGTTATTTACATTATGCAATTTAATTAAATAGATTTGGGCCATTTAGAGTCGAATAATCGTGGCAAAGACGTGGTGTTTGGTTGATTTTGAGCCGGTTTGAGGTAAGTGGCTTGTCTAACCTTGTGTGGGGGACCTTCCCTTAGGATATGATATATTTGATAATTGAAATGCCTTGCACGTGAGGTGACGAGCGCGTACTTGAGCTAATTGTTGAAAATCCGATTTTTCCTTAAGTATTTCAATTGAGTTCTTTTTCCTGTTTTATTCTACTTGTGAATTTAGCCTGTTGTTAGTTTAGAAAAGCATGTTTAGTTGACTTGATTGCCTATTTGCTTAAACTGCCTTAATTGCATTACGTGAAGCATGTTAGGCTAGAATTAACTGTTTACTTGGTACGAAATTTAGCTTAATTGGGTATTCTTGAATTGCTACTGTGTGTTTTTACTTTGGGACTACGGGACGGCATCCCGGGAGATCCTCTGTACGTATTTATGATCTGAACTGAGGTGCGAGATACCAAGAGATCCTTGGCACATATATTGAGGATACCTAGAGAACCCTAGCATATATTGAGGATACCAAGATATCATCGGGATACCGAGAGATCCCTAGCATATATTGAGGATACCGAGAGATCCCTACAATATATTGTGGATACCAAGAGATCCTCGGGATACCAAGAGGTCCCCGGTTATCATCCTTGTTATGAGTGGTACTTCCTTGTGGTTTGCCTTCATCTCTGTTTCCGTTATTGTACTCTTATTATCATGTGTATATTCTTAGTGTAGATTTTCATTTATATTGTTTATCTTATCCTGTCATCTTTATATTTATTTGATCTCAATAGGGCCCTGACCTTCCTCATCACTACCCAACCGAGGTCAGGCTTGGCACTTACTGAGTAATGCTGTGGTGTACTCATGCCCCTTCTGCGCATGTTTTTCATGTGCAGATCCAGGTACCGCTACCTAGGCCTACCATCCTTGAGAGAGGCGACTTCTTAGAGACTTCGAGGTACATCTACCGCATCTGCAGACCGAGAAGTCCCTTTCTATTCATGCTTTTAGTATTTAGCCATTCTGTATTTCTGTTCTTATTAGACAAAATTCAGAAGTTAGAGTTATGTAGTATTTCTTTTTCTTAGCTTGTGATTCGTGGGTTTCCGGGTCTTGAATTTATGTTTTGGTATTAAGAGCTAAATATGGTGTATGCCGAGCGGCACATTTAAACATTGTTACTACTTTATTTCTGTTTTAAATTGTTTATTTCCGCAAATTTTGGTTTTTCTTCTACAAATTAGGCTTACCTAAACGTAGAGACTAGGTGCCATCACAATGGTTCACGGAGGACGAACCGGGGCCGTGACAAGTTGGTATCAGAGCTCTAGGTTCATAGGAGTCATGAATCACAAGCTGGTTTATTAGAGTCTCGCGGATCAGTACAAATACGTCTATACTTATCTACGGGAGGTAGAGGTCGCCCTAGAGGGGGAGGCCAGGCCAGATATTATGCCCTTCCTGCCCGTACCGAGGCTGTTGCCTCAGATTCTGTCATCAAAGGTATTGTCCTGGTTTGTCACAGAGATGCATCAATTCTATTCGATCCAAGATCCACTTATTCTTATGTGTCTTCTTATTGTTCTCCGCAATTGGGTGTACCTCGGG